ATAGATGGAGCTGCACACAGGTGGACTCCATTCAACTATTTACAGCATGTGACTTCGGAAAGCAGCGAGCTGTGCCAGAGCTTCTTTCAGCGTGTCACAGAAAAGGGGGTGAATAATTGCACAACAAGCAAGTGCAAGTTAGTTTCGCCTACTTAACTTTTCTACCACTCTAAAAATATTTTGCACTTCCCAGTGTTAAGGGTCATGTTTACATGTTTAAAGGGAATGCCACTTAATTCCCTTTCAGTTCCAATTTGTACGAAAACAAAATGTGGAAAAGCCAAAGGGTGTGCGTGAGTATTTCCACAAAGCATTGTGCCATCTGTCCTTATGAAAGACCATGTGTGGGGCCTGTAGAATGCTTATTACCAGAGTTAAAGTAAAAAACAGAGTCTCACCCTCCGAGGGAAAATCCATGCTCTGTCCTATCCATTTTCTTTGTGGTGTGAGAACCACCACACTGGCTGCCTCTCTGAGCTTGGGAACTCAAGGGCATGTTCCAGCAAGCAGGGAGAAATGGGGACTACAGAGGCTGGGACAAGATGTACCCTGGTCCCTTGCAGCCTTCCCTCTTCCTCCAAAGTACCCCAGCTAAACACATGAAAATGGCTGACGAGATAAACATGGAGGGGAAGCATCAGGGGAGCAGAGTATCCGTAGTGTTCAGATGCCTCTGAGTTTGAGAGCTTATGAGCACTGAGGGTGCAGCTCACAGACTGAGCCATATAAAAGCAATCTGCCAGAGAGCATCTGAGGGACTCATTGGATTCTGTGCATCCCCAGACAGCACTTTTACAGCAGAAGGTAGAATCTGCAGCCTGACAAGCACATACCCTTGCAGCCAGTGTAGACTTTACTGACTGCCTCTCCAAGCATGGGAGAACCCTATCTCATTTATTATTATAGGAGGCAAATATCCAAACTGCTGCCGTGACATTCCTGTAACCACACTCAGTATGACTGTAGAAATGACAACAGGCATGATACCCATTTTTTTTCAAGGGCAAATTATACCTTATCTGGTGTTGGAAAGTCAGAATATCGCCACAACAGGAATGGATGATCTCCTTGGAAGATGTTTGGAAAAATTTACATATTGCATTCCTTTACTGGATTTAGGTTAAATCTATTTAAGTAAAAGAATAGTTTAGGTTTTAAACTATTTCGCTTCCCAAACCATAAAAATCCTTTCAAAACTGACTAACGTTTTCAGTTCTTTGATACCATTTGTTTCATCAAAAAGGTGTGGAAAATCTCCAGGTGGATTTTAGTTTTTAAAAAGTGAAGCCAGTATTTCAATATTTTTTTCTGAAACAAGAGCACATAGCATGTTTCTTTGAAAAGCAGACACCAAGGGCCATCTTGTGGTTAAACATGAGTAAAACAAAATTAAGCAAAATTAAAGCAGAAATCTTTTCTGATCCAAGTTCCAGTGCACTGATAGGATTCAAACCAGGAATGGCCTTTTGTTGCATCTGTGTGCCCACTCAGGGAACATTCTGTTCTCCAGACCATCATTCCCCTCTGCTGGCTGTAGCTGACCGAAGCTGCACTCCAAAACATCTGGAGGGCTTCAGATTTTGGAGGATTCTGCTAGACAGGCAAGGGTTGCATGTGAATTTTGACTTACCAGTTATAAACAGTGACTATCTAAGAATAAACCTTTCATAGTCAATGGAGCATGTGTACTTACAGGTAGGCAGAGCATTACATCAAAAATCCACAGGACTGATGGAACATTAGATAGGGACTATCCATAGTACTTAGAGCTGGAAAACAATTTTATTTTTCTTTTGGGTGAAATTGTAAGCAGAGTCTTTACTATGCTTCCTTTAAAATCTGACAGTCCATAATCCATCTGAGCAATGGATCTAGCCTTGGGCTTGTACTTGGGTAATACATTATATAAGGTAAAGATGAAATAAAGAAATGGGAAGAGATTTTTTTTTAAAGGACTGGGAGTCTGGAATTGATCCAGAATATTTCTTTTGGTGGGTTCCAAGCAATTGTGTATATCAGTCTATAAGGTGACTCACATGGTCATTATTCTGGGTTGTTTTTCTGGTGTTCATCAAATGTTGGGCATATAAGATACCCCCCCCCATTTTTGTTTTCCTATTTTTGACTTCAAGGGTTGTCATATACACTGACATATACAATAATAATGTATATTGTTGCATTTCTATTTATGTTGTATTTTAATTTTACTATGTTTTATGGTTTGTTTGTTATTGCTATTTATTTTATCTGTATTTTAAATGTATTTAGATTGTCCTGTGAGCTGCCCAAAGAGCCTTTGGCTATGGGACAGCATACAAATGCAATGAATGAATGAATGAATGAATTCTGCTGGGGCAGATTGGCTCTGGCCAAAAGGTGCACATGTGCACCCTGAACACCTAATGTAGACAGAGGTCCTTCCATGGTGAGCGACAGGGTTTGGACAAGCCAGTTGAGTGTGGTTGTCATTGAACCAAGGAATGATTGTTGATTCATGGATTATTCTGTTGTTTGAATGCAGCTTGTTGTTCGGATAAACCATAGGAACAACCCACAGTTCACAGCCCAACAACAAACAACAAGCCATGGCTTGTTGATTCATGGATTATTCTGTTGTTTGAATGCAGCTTGTTGTTCAGATAAACCATAGGAACAACCCACAGTTCACAACCCAACAACAAACAACAAGCCATGGCTTGTTGATTCATGGATTATTCTGTTGTTTGAATGCAGCTTGTTGTTCAGATAAACTATAGGAACAACCCACAGTTCACAACCCAACAACAAACAACAAGCCATGGCTTGTTAGCACAGCTGTATTGAGTCAACAAGATAACCCATATTTAAGCACCAACTCACAATTCAACAATAACCGATATAATGACAAAGCCATTCTATCAGCTACGAACTGTACAGCTTTTTCAAAAGGAAAATGTTGAACTGCACAGGGCGGTGTGATTGTAGTTTGTGCATGTAACTATAGCACCATGGTCTCCTTATGCATGTGTACGTATGCTTTGTTACTTAAAGATACATTCACTGACATTCAGAAGTCCAAAACAGAGTAGCATAAAGTGTTTGATAAATTTGATAGCACTAGTGTGGCAGAATCCTATATCAAAGTGTTACACCAAAATGCATCATTCAAAATACCAAAATTTTACTTGAAGTGAGGGATATAAAATGGCTAAGGCCAAAAGAAAAGGATAAATGCACAAAGTATAGCAGTTCCTTATAATATTGTTATATTGGATATTGTTATATTTTCAGATATCCCCAGACTTAGAACACTGACAACTTCACCTGACTTCCAGGAAAGGGGCCTCCATATTCTAGAATAACTTCATTCATCTTGCAAGCACTGGTGCACAGGGCCGACTTAACAGCATTATGGGCCCCGGCAAAGCAGTGTACTGGGGCCCCTACGACAACTACAACTACTGTTAATTTTGGAAGTTTTCCAATTTTCCAAGGGTTAACATACACAGATTAGTATGGGGCCCACGGGCAAGTGCCCATCAGGCCCATGCGTTAAGACGGCCCTGCTGGTGCACAGTCTGTGGACAACCACAGTGGTTTCTGTGGGGAGTATCTTTGTCCAGGGAGGAGAAGAAGTGGACATATTCTGCCAGACTTTGAGACTACTGGGGAGCCTGGACTAGTACTTTATGTTTCACAACAAGATCAGACAGTTTTTATATCAGGTAACATGTAAAACTTGTATTTTCAACTGCCTGCATGTTTTTTGGTTTTTTTTGGTCTCACATTTTAAGGAGACTGATAGGCAGAGCCAGACTAAGGCCTTTCACTGAAAAATTGTAGACATAGAATTTTTCTATACAAAACTTATATTTTGCACTCATGATTACTCCCTCATGGTAGTCTCCAGTTGCTTTACATGACACCATCATCCTCCAGGACTTTTCCTGAGCATTGCAAAGATCCCCCCCCCCCCACTCTTTCTCTCTTTCAGATTGAAGGAAATGTGGTATTATTTAGAAAGTCTGCTCTAAAATTGTCTGTATTTATGTAGTTTTGCCATACTTCAGCACCACCACTTGCAGTTGTGTAATGGAACATACGGACAAGTAGAGGAAGAAAATCCCTGGGGGAAATGTGTAAAGGAGCTGATCTTAACCCTGTGAAGAATTTGGAAGCAGAAGCCTTGGCAAGGTGGTGGGTCAAAAGCTTCATATAGGGAAGCCCACTGAAAACTATGTCCAAAAAGCAACTTGCTACACAGATCCTAGGGAAAGCCTCCCAGATTCTGCAGTAACAAGGGAGGCTGAGGTTCTGTTTGGGAGCAGGGAAACACAAAGCATCTTATCTAAATCATTGCCTATTTTAAGAAGTTATATGTTTACATTCAGAGTTATAAGTAAAACATACCAAACAGTATTTAATGGGATAAAACAGTAAACCTCATCAAAGTGCCATGGCCAGTTAGTGGCAAGGCACTGGGATGGTTGACAAGCACTTTGTCATTAAAATGTTTAATAAATTACCATGTAATTATCAAGTTAGTTATTACATCAGAACTATGATCCTGTACTGATTCACTTGGGATGAGCACCTCTGAATTCAATGAGATGTGCTTCTAAGGACAGGTTATATACTGTATTTAGGATTTTTCTGTCTTGCAGTAGCTTTCAATACCTCCCCCACCCCCAATCTTTAGACTGTACCCTAACATATATAATTTCATCCTGCAGGCTTAACAAATGAATACATTGCCAAGCAACTGAAGAAACATGCACATATCTAGCAGTAAACATTTCTGAGGAATACCATGAAAATGAATCAATTACAAAACTAATCTAAATAATCAGCCATTAAGGACTCATTAAGGACTGGTTTTTTTCCTAACCTGCATAGGACTGTATCCTAAGTAAGAGCAAAAGAGAAAAACAATACCATACATGCCTTTACCCCCCCGTAAAGAAATCGGTCCAAAATGGCTGATTTAATGCATTAAATTAATGCAGTCCAAACTGGCACTTCTATCCATAGATTTTTCTCCCAAAGGCTTTGTTTTTCCACTTGAAGTACAGATCTTCCACGAGATCGCTTCGGCCGCTCTTACAGAGATAGCGGGAGAGGAGCTGGAGCTTGTCAGCTGATCTGGGAAGATTCCTTCTCCAAAAGCACAGGAGTTCATAGATCTGCTCTGTGAGATTATCGGGGCACTTCAGTTTAATAAGCTGAAGGGTGCTTCGGTGGAGAGGCAGAGAGAGCGCGAGGCATGAAGCGTTATCTTCTGACAGCTCTTGTGCCAGCCAGTACAGTACGTTGTCCCACATTGCCTCTGTTAGTTAAAATATTAACTTATAAAGACATTCTTCTCTTTCTTTCTTTTGAAAAGAAGGCAATAAACTTTTTAAAGATTCTAAAAAGATACATGGAAAAGACTGCCAGGAAATGTGTCCTTGACATTCATTCTGGGAACAAGAGTGTGTGCATACAAACCACAGAAGCTGATAATCATGGAACTACCAGTTGCGTGATTAGTTTTTGATTGCAAAGAGTGACCAGGAGGAGAGTCTGATCCAGGTCAGGACCACAGGGCAGTGGGGGACAGCACTGCTCAATCTAGTGGAGGCTGCAGGCTGCAACATCAGTGGGATGTAGATCTACTGTGTGCTTTAGTCTGAACTTTTAAGTATCATAGAATCATTGAATAGTAGGGTTAGGGGGAGCCAGGAAGACCATCAGCTCCAGCCACCTGCTGTTGCAGGACACCAGTTTACACCATCCCGCTCAGATGACTATCCAGTTTCACCTTGAATGTCTTTAATGTGGGAGAACCCACAACCTCTTTAGGCAACTGGTTCCACTGTCTGAACCAGTTGCTCTGGCAGTGAGGAAACTTTTCCTGATATCTAGCGTGAATGTGGGTTGCCACAACTTGAGTTGATTATTCCATTTCCTACACTGTGGCATCAGCAAGAAGAGATCTGGACCTTCCTCTTTGTGACAGCCTTTGAGGTAGGATTGAGGATACCAGGTCCCCCCTCTGTCTTCTCTTCTCAAGGCTGAACATGCCCAGTTCATAGGATGTAGTTTCAGTACAATGGATAACCCTCTTAAAGTTCAGACAGGAACCCAGAAAAGACCTATCACTAGGGATGTGGGAGAAATCCATTTTGGGTCTGAGAACCTGTTGGATTTATAGGCCGGGCTCCCCACACTCTGGCCTGCTTCTCATGGGCATGAGTCCAATTTTAATAACAGTTTAACATTTAATTGGTTTTATCTTTGATTTTTTCATTAATGGTCGGATACAGTGTGTTGTTTGTTGGTATGTTGTTGTTGTTTTTTGTAAGCCGTTCAGAGACTCTGGTATTGGACAGCATATAAAAACTTTAATAAATTAATAAGCACGCAAGCGTTTGCATGGGGACCTGCCAGGAAGTGAGCCCGGCAGGTGCTGCACCAGCGGCATCCCTCTTCTGCCTGTGTGACTGGTGGCCTTTGTTTGTCCTGTGGAAGAAGGCTGCTGGTTGTGCTACCATTTGCAGTCTTCCTTTTGGCTCAGCTTGCTTTCTAAAGCAAGGACCAACCATGGGAAGAAGTCTGATGAGAAGAAGAGGGAGGGTTGTTGCAGCTTTATAGCCTGAGACTGGTGGTTAAACCCTCTCTCTGTTCCCAGCAGTCTTCATCTGGACTCCATCCTAAACTTTTCATTGCTGTCCTTTACAACAAAAATAACATAACATTCAGTTCCATGATTATTGGTGCATCTGTTTGCCCTATAAGCTTATGCTGTGTTACCCTACCCATGTTAGGCATACTGATGCTGCACAGAACCCCAGTACAGATAAAGACGTGGGCCAAGAGATAAATAAAGCCCACCCTCTTGCCTGCCCTTTTTCCTGTCAAACATGCCCTCCCACAGCCACTTGGCAACTGAGAAGCTGCAACAGTGGTTTGAAGACATGAACTGGCTAAGTAATGTGTAGCTCTGCCCTGAAGCTGCAACAATGAACACACAAAGGATCATATTGCATGCTAATTGCTGCAGAAGACTGGGGAACTTTCCTTACCTGATGCATTGGATGAGGTTCTTTTTGTGCTTTGTGGGCGGCTGATCAGCTTTTCCTTCTGCACAAGGATAGATATTCAGAGGAGGGAGAATGTTATTCAAAGGTAGATGGAGTAAAAGTTAAGCAAACAATATAGTTCCTTTCTTTACCAAACGTTAAGGCAAATGTCACATATTTTTATGACCATGATGACTCTGTATAGAAGACACACCCATGTGTTCACTCCTTTTTCAAAATCTCGCTCTTTTGCTAAGTAGATGATTGCATGCAACTTGATCACCTGATATGTGCATGCCTCTTATTTTATCTTCATTACAGTCCAACCAGGTAAGCTCATCAGACACTGAGTGATTGGCCCAAGGCCATGCAGTGCACACTTCTTCATGGAACTGGGATTTAAACCTAGAGCTTCCCTGTTTAAGACCAACAGTGTCCACCAGGCTTTCCATTCTTTCTTCACACTCTTTATTCTATACGACAAACATGGTTAATGACCCTTTCCTTCGTAATTTACCCATGGGTGTGTCTGCTAGGGTGTGCAGACAGCTATTCCTCTGCTCGCCTGTGGTGAGATGAGAATTGCCTCCAGGCTTCTCTGTGGCTGCAAATGATGCAGCATGTCTCATTTCCTGCCAGGGAATCATAAAGCTCTTTGTGCAGCTATTATGCTAGGAAGCAAAATGGCTTTTGCGAACTGACTGCTGAATGAAGCACCTGTTGCTTTTAGCCTCCACCCATGTAAAAAGTTGACTGTCATCATCCTTTGAGAAAGGGGTAGTGGGGAATTGGGGTGCCATCCATCCTTACTCTCTTTTTTACTTGCAGGAGAGGTATGGATGGCAGGGGAAAGACAGCTGAGCTCATCTCTGTACCTTGCCAAGGAATGCCTGAAATCTTGTTTTCTTCTGGGTCCTGATCCAATCTAGGAACTTGATGGAAGAGAATGTGCAGTGGCAGTAAAAGGAGAGGTCATGCAGGGGTCTAAGCTTTTTAAAAATTGTGTGTTTCATCTATTTATTTTTATGATGATAAAAGTTGTAGCAAAGTTTTTTTTACTCAAGCTAGCTGCTTTGTAGGAGAGGTGGTATAGAAATCAAATAAATCAATGAAAGAAAATCATGGTTTGGATTGTGGCTGATGAAAGCTGAGTGGCGAGGTAGGCAAAACTCAAACATGTTTGCTCACTTTTTAGAGAGAATGAAGGGACACTTCAGCATTTGACTGGTCTGCTTCATTATGCCCAGCAAGGAAAATTTGTGAGTAAGCAACTCACCTTTGGCAAGGTTAGGGACAGCTTGCAGAGGAGGGCCTGAGGCTGGTAATCATCCAGCTCGTGTGGGTGTTCCGAGTTCTTGGCGATGTTATCTTTGCTCACTTTGTAAAACAAGGCCGTTCCCTTGTAATGGGGTGAACTGTAGTTGCCAAATTCATCCACTTCCTTGATTTGGAGGGCAAGCCTTGGCTTCCTTTGTGCATGAAAAGTAAGCTTGTAGGTTTTTCCAAAGGCTATCCCATCATCTGTAGATATACCATTTAAAAAGGACAGGGTAATGCAAGTTAATACTCTCAATCAATACTTTTTAAAGTGTGTGGGTTTACTTCCTTCACGTATTTATAAACCACTTTTTAATGAAAGGTCCTATGCAAAATATCATAAAGCCAAAGTGTGTGGTTTTATTGCTGATTAATTGTGTTGTTTTATTGTGTTTTATTGGTACTGAGTTTTTTATGCTATTGTATTTTTGGGGGTGCCATTTTGATTCTTGTGGCAAGTAGAATAAAAATAAATAAACACACAGCAGAATACTGATTTACCTGAAGCAAAAATATTTCCACTAAATCTAAAATGAACCTGTTCTCCTTCTCTCATGCTGAACTGCTGAGAGGGTTCTGGAGGGCCAAAGTATCCCTCTTCACGCAGACTCTGCAGCTCCAAGTTCAATTCCTTGGATGGAACCAGTAAGACAACTATCTTGTAGGGATTTTCTTTTTGCTGATATAAAACCACTTTCACCATGGTGTTGTAGATGGCCTGCTCCAGATTCTGAATAAATTGAAGCAGATGTGTGTTGTCCATAGGCGATGACAGTCGAATGATAATAAAGCTGTATTAAGAAAACAGAATATATCTCAATGTTAAAGCACCATAGCACTGAAAACTAGACTCCCTGGACCCTAGATGTATATTGTTAAACACTAAGCAATTGTATATGGGAAATAAGTGAATAACAAAACAGAAATACCCACAATTGTTCTGTTAAGCATTTCAGCATTCACTTCAGTAATACAGCTGGGACTTCCGATCTGATTATTTTGTCCTCATGATATTGTTTGGATAACGTACAGTGGGTAACAGATTTGAACAACTGGCTTCCAAATAATTAGTTTTGATGGCCACAGCCTCTCTGATTTGGCAACATTCCTATGGAGCAGTGATGGGTAGCCTGCAGCCCCAGGGCCATGCTTAATTTCTTATGGCCCACGGCATGAGTTCAAAAGCCCTCTCTGGCCATTTCTAGGTGTGTCCCTTTGACTCCTCTCCACCCCTTTCTTGGTGGCCTCCACATGAAGATGGCAAGTGGCTGCACAGTGGAGGCTTTTTGATCTGTGGAAGCTCTCTTCAAGATTTGGTACCCTCAGAATTCAGCACTGCACATCTCAAATACGGCCTCATCCATCAAAGAAGTTCTCCACTACAGAGGGTTGTCCCTTCCCACCAAGTGTGGTGGGAATTGTTCTGGGAGTGCCAGAGTTAGCATGCCCATCCTCACTCCCCTTCCTTGCAGCATTTACTCTGTTTGGTTTTCAAATGCCCGAAGCAGCCTATAGACCAAAGACCTTAACACCCATGGACTTAATCAAGAAAAGAACACATGTTCTATCCACTTCTTGATTCTGATTATGGAAACATGGCCTGCACATGCCACAGCCCCTGGAATCAACCCATCCTGCATGCTCTTCAAACTCATCTTGACTTTCAGCGTTAATTTAAAAGTTTAACTGTGTTAAAGTCAAGAAGCACTAACAGAGAGTTCACTGTGCTAGTGCAAATGAAATGCCAATCCGTGCAAAACCCATTGCAGCAGCAAGTACCCCTGGTGCCACATTATTTTATTTATTTTTCATTTTAAAACTTTTATATGCCGTCACCACATACCTCGGCTTACAATGTAGAATTAGAACAATAAAACAGTAGCAAGTACAGTAAAATTCTATAAAAACAAAAAGCGACTGTTAGTGATAAAATCTAGCACAAGGCCATTTATGTTTGTGGTGGCATTGCATTAGATTCAGCCCATTGAATGTGCTCTATACATGACTGATTCATGCCAAACCCTTTATCTATTTACTGGACTGCATAATGAGTCAGCAATTTTACATTCAGCTACCAATATGATTTTATCTCACCTGTCTAAGTGCTCATCTAATTCAAATGACACGAGGCCATTCCGTGCATTTCTCACTGTGATGTCATCCAATAGCACCCATCCCTCTTCTTTATTTCTGTATCCCAGTAATTTTAAAGATTCACTGAGATTCTCACCATGTTTTCTTGGGGAGGCACTCATTGCTCTAGAGAATCACAAGACATATTTATCGTACTTTTAGACTGTTCTGCATCTAAAAAGCTCCCTAGTGGTGAACCATAATCACAGTCTCTAATATGAAAGAGGAACAATATTTATTTAATATTAATTATGCCAATGAAACCATTGCTAGGCTTGCAACCAGAGAAAGCATGTTTAAATAAGAATATCTTCAGCAGATGCTGGGAATAGAATTAGGTTGGTTCATGCTGGACATCAGCAAGCAAGGGATTCCATGGAGAAGGTCTTAATGCATTAAAAGCACTGGGAGGTGTAGGCCCCTTTTTCAATTTAAATATGCATAGGATTATGCCATTTAAAACTATGCTAGGTGCTCTCTATGGAATCATCAATACTGCCTTTATCCAATGACTTCATTGAGTGACCAGATATGCTAATGACTTGCATGTTTTTAAAAAAAGCTGCACAGGATACTAGAATGCTTGTGTTGTTCTCTGAGAAGCTCCTTACTGAAAGCTGGCCATGTTGCTCTTTTGACTCAGATGAAAACACAACTTTTTTTTTTTTTTTTGCAGATTTTTGTCTTTTACTCATTGGTAGTGAACACAGGATGTCTCCTTAATTGCTACTAATGATATATCATGCAAGTATTTATTAGACTAAAGCCCCATTTTGAACCTTACTGGATTCCACATTTATTTACAGAATGGGTGGTGAAAATATTGCTGTTCAGTTTGATTAGAAAAAGAGAAAATAATTTTCCATTTGGCAGCTGGCTGGGAATGGATTTCTGACTGGATCTTTGAGGAACTTCTGCTGCAGAATCAATGTTGTGTTAGGATTAGCAATGTCAGATTGCTCATGCTGAAGCCCTTAAAGAAACCCTCAAAGAAGGAAATCTAATTTCTGAAATACAAAGGACAATAATAAAGCCTTTCACTGGAATGTGGGGCCTTTTCCACATTTTTCTCTCGCATGGTCAACATATATGTGTGTCAATATGATCCACATACTTCTACTTTGAAGAAGACTGATGCAGTAAACAATCAGGCTTTGTTGCTTCAGTTCAAGCAAAATAGCTTGTAAATAGTAGCAAGCAGAATGCTGCAGTTCTTCAAATCTTACCGGGGCTCCTCAAAAAGATCAGCAGTGGCAGACAAACAACCCAGAAAGATAGCAAATTCACTACTACCAGTGTTCCCCTGCAGCATTTACCCAATGTGGGAACCACACTCAATTCACATGGGCAATGGTGAATCCAAGCAGGCCTCATTCCTGGAACATACACAGAATCCTTTACAATCAGAAGCCAGTGGCAGATCATTAGATTTCCCTTGCAGACAAATGAGCTTAGTATTGTCTGAAAGTACATAAGGCGTCCACCATGTTGAAGCTAGGCAGGTCTGGGGCTTGAATCTTTGTATCTCCTGAGCTTGGAGAGGAGATCACCAGGGAATTGCATGTACACACCTTGTGGTCCACAATGGGTGAAAGGTGGGACAGAAAAATTAACAGCTTCTTTTAGAGTAGGTCCTTGGAAAACTGTCATTTAAGGACATATCGCAAAATGGGCCATTTGTGGGAATAAGCTGTGAGAACAAAGCTTGCACTGTTTTCTTGCCTCTTCTCTTTGCCCATGATCATACCTCCCAGACCCAAGTAGCAAACACTGAGTGTTCCTCTGAAGATGTGAAGTGCCTCCATCACCTTGCTCCATCTTATCTGCTCTGTCTTATATTTATGCAGACTGTTGCACTGATTCTCTATTGCTAGAGCATTTTGGTTCCAAAACATCCTTGAAGCTGTTTCTAACCTCACTGATTTCTGACTACACTGAATAGACTCAGGGTGGAAACTGCACATTACATCCGATATGAAGATGCTGCAACTCCAGTGTTGAATTCTATCTCTCCCCCTAAGTTGTGGGTCCACTTGTTCCATGTTGTGGCATCATTGCCAATGCTATGTCCCCACTTCTCTCTATATCACTGATGCTGATGGAAGGGATGGGCAAATGCATGACCTGATAGTATCTCAGTACAGCAGGAATGATCCTATAGTTTCTATAATTAACATGCAGATATTCTACCAGGCAGAAAAGCTGCTCAGTCCTCAGAGAAAAGACCTACAAGTACCTTTGAGAATATTTCTTTATTTATTGCATTTATATACTGCCCTGCTAGCACCAAGGGCTCTCTGCGTGGTTCAAAACATTAAAAACCCAAATACAAAGACTAAAATACCTGATCAAAACACAAAAGCAGCCCTAAAAATTACAAACAGCAGTAACTGCATATAACCCACAATTCAGCAGCAGAAATACAAAATTAAAATATAAATATACAAAATTTATCCACTATTAATTTTTTAAATACCTGGTGAATAAAAATGTTTTCCCCTGGCACAGGAAGGATAATAAAGATGCCACCAGGTGTATACATAGAAGAGACACCTTGTTTTCAAGTAGGTAGTCACAGGCATTTCTCACCGAAAATGATGCACTGCTGAAACCCTGTGTATAGAAGCACTAGTTGTTCTCTCTCGGTCTGTCTCCTCGCTCTCCCTCTTCTTCTCTTGGTTTGGGGGACAAGGCAGAATAACTGTGATGGATTTGTTGAACGGCTGGGATGAACAATATTGCAGATACACCAGAGGGCTTGTCGACACTACAGAATAATATGTCTCATGCTTGGTTTTTAACAAAGATATTGTCGATGGCTCAATTGGTTGCACCTGTGTATAATTATAAAGGTCATTGTCATTATCTGTCATTCACTGGAAGCGGTCAGGCCTGGCGCCATGAGAGGGCATTGTTGGGCAGCTGCCAATGGCCCAAGCCCTCTGGTGGGGCTACTTCTGATCTAAAATGCTGGAGTACCCGTGGCTGTGGCTAGCATATTCACATGTATGTATGTATTTGATAAATTGCTATGCTACCACAATAGCCCATATCTGTGTGTTCCCCCTCAGGGTCCCTGAAGCACTATGTCAAAAATTAAAATGGTGGGCACCAGCAGCAGGGCTTGTCAAGGAAACCCCCTTTCCATTCTGTTCCGTTCCGTTCCTTTCACCTGCTGCTCTGCCTGTGTTCTGAGGCCAACTAGAGTGGCAGAAACCAAAGGGCTCTGCAGTCCATCAACATGGTGCTTGTATGTAACATACACAGCATTTACCTCCTGCTCCAAAGAAGTCATCATTCTGAAGCCCTGTCCAGTGACTAGAAAGGGAAGTTGGCATGGAGGCATTTCCTGCGCTCAGCCTTCAGATGAGTCTGCTTCCAAGTTCTTCTGCCCCATCACTGCTTATATAATCCCTTTTGCTTTACCTCCACATGTAACTGAAGCCAAATAACACCTCCTTGCACCCAGAGAGTTGGATTTGACCCAAGGGTCAGTGACTGAAAGCCCCTAATGTAAAGTTAAAGTACAGCTGAAGTTGCTATGCGTCAACAAAAGTAGTTTCCCAGAAACTTTTGCCAGAATCTTCTCTTTCCTGTAATTTGAGATCACTCTTCTCTTATCACCAGCCATGACGTAGTTCCCCTGCTAAGCAGGATGAAGGTCATTCGGCAAGCAGCATCGTGGCCCTAGGCTCTTATGTCCTGATGTTCTGGCAGGGATGGACTTCTCTTTAAGTAAGGAAATGTTCTGAATGTGTCTGTACGGAGCACTTGCTTCCATACTTATGGCAGATGGGACAAAATTCCTGCAGGGGATCTGCAGAATGGAAAAGATGGCAAACTTCTGCTCTCTTTTCTGTGTCTACCATAAAGCAAATTCTAAAACAAGCATGCAATATCCAAGCAAGGATTTACTTTTTGAGAATGATTGTTTTCCTAATGAAATGCCTACAAAATGATGGGATGATCTACAGAATATCGCTCAGTTCTTTCAGCTGCAACTTCCAGTCTTGTTCAACATGGAAGTCTTTCTTCAGTTTATTTAGAGGCACTGGTAGGCTTAGACATTAGCCTGATATGAGGTTGGGGGAAAGCGATGTATATATTGTCTTATAAACGATGTCTTATATTGTGACATCTGCACATTTACAAGATTAGCTTCTTTTAGGGGGTATTCATTCATGCCAAGTGCACATTAACCTTAATGCCTATCACTGTGAGGCCTATCTTCACTTATGTGCATTAGTACCCATGTAAACTTGTGCAAATCCCCACCAAAAGTACCAAACCAGTCTTCAAGTCTGTAGAATTTTTGCAACTCAGAAGTGCTGCAGCATTTTGAATCTATTGTGGGTTTCTTCAAGCTCCCTAGTGGGGAAAGGTGTAATGACTGCTGCTCTAATTCAAGGCTTTTTAAAATGGTGGGGATAGACAGGCAGACTCCATTGCAGTCCTGGGCTGGTGGTGGTGCTTTTGGCAAGGCATTTCACTAGAGTAAGAATTAGCAGACTAGTCAAATGCTGTATATGATCAACATTTTCCATCTACTTTCCAACTTCATGGCTCTCACCCGCACACACAAAGTGGTTCAGGAGAAGGCAGGCAGGCAGGCAGATGCACAAAAATGTGAGACATTATTAGAGAAGTTGCTGAATTATAAAGTGGATAAAAAGTGGTCTTTTTTCCAGGAAGACTACAACTGAATATCTACAGTTATAATACATCTAGAAATTATTTCCTAAGCTTTTGCTGCCACCCAGAGATGAAGTGAATGTCGATCTCTGTTTCTTGTGAGAAAAAATGCTTTAAACAGGAGCAATGCCCTCCCGCTGGCAGAAACAAAAGCTAATTCCTGTTCTATAGAGAAATACTAACAACATATCAACAGTGCATCTATGCCCTTTGGCTGGAAGCCAAATAAATGGACATCTAAGTTTGGCATCTTTTGCAGTTGGTTTATGTTGTACAGCAGCCTCCTAACCTATGAGGAAAATTCTTTCAGAAACTGAAAAGGCTTTCAAAAGCAGTTTGCAATATTGCCATGGAGACTTGGTGTACAAAGGAGAATGAGGAGGGGGGGAGGGGGGGAGGGGAGGGGGAGGAGAGGCAAATTTCTCATTGGGAATTTCCAACCCCTTAGGTGGAGTAGTTCTTTCCTAAATTTCTTCATGCCATTAGTTGTCCAAAAGCACGTGGGTAAAGTCAGTGCTGTGCTTCCTTTCTCAACCCCAGTGTTGCTCTAGACCTTGAGAGAACTGTCCTAGTTTTAAAGGAGTCAGACTCATACATGGCTTGGTGACGTCTCACTCTGCTTGTAGCTGAATGTGTGAACTTGGATTATTGAAATATTGTTGTTTAAAGTTGTTTGGAAGCTTTGACCTATGGTGGCTGTTTCACATGTGCTAGTCATCACTGTATACTGCAGTTACTGGGTGACTAGGACCCAGTACTTGCTCTGTGTGAGTTACAAGCTCAAATGTCTGTTCCCGTAACCATTCCAGCATTCTCTGCCATCAAGGTCAGGCGCTGCTACATTTTTCCAGCATTTCCCCAATTCTTCCAGTATTTTCCAATTCTCAAGAGTTATAACAAACACTTTTCAAGCATACCTTTAGGTGCATTGTCACCCGGGAATTGAAAGTGGATGGTGGATAGCAAAAGGAAATTCTGCAGTCCATGCTTAGTTTTCGCGAGAGACCTTTCCGTGGAATGGTCAACGTCTCCTTCTTTAAGCATGAAACCACACAAAAAAAGCCAAGCTGGCAGGTTTTCACCTCAGCAAAAGTCCCCTGTGTGAAAAAGGGGGGAAAAAGAGATGCTGTAGATGAGAATGGTCTGTGCTCTGGATCATGGAAACTTGCACGAATTGGAGGTCTGAATGGACTTAAAGACCACTGGAAAGACCTGTGGAGATTGATCTGGCAACCAGTTCGCAGCACTGAAGGGATGAGGGCACTGCTTCTTATGTTCAGCTAACCACGAGCATGGGGTGAATTAGAATGGAGGCTTACAGACCCATCTGCCTGATGTGGATGGCCTGGGGCAGTTAGAGTAGCCATGCATCCTTTTCTAAGGAAGACCATCCTCTTTTACAGAGGACAGTCCTCTATTTGTAGGAATTAGGGGTGGAGGGGTTTCTGGCAATAATGAATCCCTTCCTTGAATGAAAAGTGGTGGGGCTATTCTACATGTTGCATTCACTGTAAATGGCACATGTGTGGTATATTTTGCTTCTGCTGCATGGCTTCTCATGACATTTTACTTAATGATACAGAGATTGTTTGCACTGTCACTGAACACTCTGCATGCATGTCATTGGGCTCTGGAATAAGAGCTCTCCACATGATCTGAAAGATCAATTCCGTTAAAAAAAGCTACACAGTACAGTGTTGAAGAAAAGGAACAACACAACGTTAAATTCATCTGGGTTCCTTGTGGCTCTAGGGAAGTTACAGCCTTGGTTTTTCTACTAATTCAAAGTGGAAAATAATTGCATCTAGGCCTTCTGGCTTCCCCCAGCATGAAAACTGCACCTACTTAATAGCTTACCAACCTTGTGGTTTCCTTGGTATCCTTCCAAAGAGACTGGAGTTAAATAACTTGACTTAAAGTTTGTGTCAGTCATCTTCACCATAATATCTTTGTACATCCCTCTGTAGCGTGAAGTAAATGGTATGGTGAGGGTGATTGGAGAAACGGTTGGTTGGTTGATATGCTCAACACAGATGACATTGCTGACCAGTTCTTCTGCATTATCCACCACCAAGGAACTTAAATAATTGACAACCGTGATTGCAAGATTTTCTAGGATGTTACAAGGGGCAGTAATTGCACAAGCCACTTCAGGTTCACTCTGACTGCTCACTTCCATGAGAAATCTGCAGACAAAACACAACATTGACCATTATTTGCAAGAATAAAGAGCAACAGAGAGGACAAGTTGTAGCTTGTTCAGTATAATATAAATGCTAAGATACAAAGCTATGAATAAGGAAGTTCCTGGTTTGAGTGTGAACTCCTGAAATGGCCTTTAGCAAGCCACTTTCTCTCAGGCCGTCCCAGTCTTCTCTCCACAAAAATATATAAACAAAAATAATTGCAATCAAAATCAGCAGTTCCATAAAAAGACAGCTCAAAAAAGCTGTTGAAAATTAATGAGTCTAAGGGGCTTTTCCAATGGCTTTTAGTATTCAGACCCACCACATTTCAGTCATTAATGCATTCCAGGGATGTGGGACCACTGCAGAAAAGGCTCTGGTACTGACTTAAAATTGAGCTGCCTGATGTAACTATTTATTTATTTTATTTATTAAAACATTTTTATGCCGCCCCATTCGCCGAAGCCTCGGGGCGGCTTACAACAATAAATTAATTATAATCATAAATTAAAAATGTAAACATTAGAATAAAATACAAACATACAATATAAAATAAGCCGCCCTGGCCAGATAGAATTCAATAATATTAACATTTAAAATGCCGCTTAAATAAAAAGGTCTTCGCCTGGCGCCAAAAAACAAACAATGACGGCGCCAGGTGGACCTCTCTGGGGAGCACATTCCATAACTTAGGCGCCACCGCAGAGAAAGCCTTCCTCCGAGTACCCACCCTCCTAATTTCTTTCACGGAGGGTTCCCGGAGAAGGGCCTCTCCCGCTGATCTCAGGGGGCGGCTGGGCATATATGGATGTAAGCGCTCCTTCAGGTAACCAGGACCCAAGCCATTTAGGGCTTTATAGGTCATCACCAACACCTTGAATTGGGCCCGGAGTTCAATGGGAAGCCAGTGAAGCTGACGGAGAACTGGAGTCATGTGAACATAACACCCCGTCCCCGTCAGCAACCTGGCAGCTCTATTTTGAACCAATTGAAGTATCCGGACTGTCTTCAAGGGTAGCCCCACGTAGAGCGCGTTACAGAAGTCAAGACGGGAGGTCACCAGCGCATGTGTCACTGTTGCGAGGCAGTCGTACTCCAGGTAGGGGCGCAGCTGATGAATCAGCCGAAGCTGGAGGAAAGCGCTCCTCGCCGCTGCTGTCACCTGAGCTTCCAATGAAAGCTCCAGGTCGAGGAGCACTCCCAAGCTGCGGACCTTGTCCCTAAGAGGGAGTGCAACCCCGTTCAGGACAAGGTTCAATTCACCCTCTCCGAAGCCCAATCCGCCAACCAACAGGACCTTCGTCTTGTCTGGATTGAGCTTCAGTTTATTGGCCCTCATCCAGCCCATTACCTCGGCCAGGCACCGGTTCAGTACAGCCACTGCCTCACCTGGATTGGTGGAAAACGAGAGGTAGAGCTGGGTATCATCAGCGTACTGATGGTTCCGCAGCCCACACCTCCTGATGACCTCTCCCAGCGGTTTCATGTAGATGTTGAACAGCAAAGGGGACAAAATGGACCCCTGCGGCACTCCATGGCATAACTGCCATGGTGCAGAGCCATAGTCCCCCAGCACTACCTTCTGGAATCGGCCATTGAGATAGGAGCGGAACCACTGCAAAGCAGTGCCTCCGACCCCCAATCCCACAAGCCTATCCAGAAGGATACCATGGTCGATGGTATCGAAAGCCGCTGAGAGGTCCAGGAGAACCAACAGGGACGCACTTGCCCTGTCCTTCTCCCTGCACAGGTCATCGTACAGGGCGACCAAGGCAGATTCAGTACCGTACCCGGGTCTGAAGCCAGACTGAAATGGGTCCAGATAATCAGTTTCATCCAAGAGTGCTTGGAGTTGTCCCGCCACCACCCGCTCTAACACCTTGCCCAGAAACGGCCACTGGTCTATAATTAGTGGCCATCTCTGGATCCAGTGACGCCTTCTTCAGGACTGGTTGGACTACCGCCTCCTTTAAAGGGGCAGGCACCCGACCCTCCCTCAGAGAAGCGTTAACCACTTCCAAGATCCAGGTCCCAATCCCGTGCTCGGAATTATTTATTAACCAAGACGGGCAAGGGTCCAAAAGGCAAGTGGTGGGACGTACTCGTCCAAGCACCTTGTCCACATCATCGGGCCGCAGTAACTGAAATTCATCCAATAATTCTGGACCAGACGGCGGCGTTGGCGTCTCCCTTAAAACCTCTGAATCAATAGTGGAATCCAGCTCGTGACAAATCTGAGCGATTTTTTCCCTGAAATGCCTGGCAAAGTCGTCACAGCGGGCCTTTGAGGGTGGAACCAGGTCTTCTTTCGGACCTGGACGAACCAGGCCTTGCACCACTCGAAAGAGCTCCACCGGACGGCATTGTGAGGAGAAAATGCAAGCGGAAAAAAATCTCACCGCCACAGCGTAGGCCCGATAGTGGGCTCTCAAGTGTGTTCGGTCAGATTCATCCTGTGATTTCCTCTAGTGGCCTTGTGTGTTCAGAAGCAGGCAGGTTTCTGTGCACATACCCCTAATTTTATCAGACAGTGTATGCACTCTTCTTGAGTGGGATGGTCTAAACTGGTGTCGCAACAGCAGGGGGTTGGACCTGATGTCCTTGGCCCTTTCCAACTGTACTATTCTATGATTCCTTGCAGTATAGCCACTCAGGCTGCATGATCTAACATTCTTTTAAAAGTTTGAATTCCAATGATCTTCTTCCTACCGGGAGAAATATTAGGAAGGATCCCATCCCCTACTTCTCCTTATTGTGAATCAACTGATTCCTACTGCAGCTTTGGCCTGGCTGTTCCACGCATGCTTTATTAGTCTGGAACAGTAGCCTTGGGTAACAGGCTTTGATCTGTTTGCCTCCCTCTGCAGAGGAATTGATAGAATTATCTACATCTTTCAGTTGGGCAGAAATTACTCTCATCTTCTCCAGCAAAGCAACGGGTAAATTCATTGATTTCAACCAGGTTAAGTATGCAAAGACACTGTTAAATTGTGGTGGAAAAAGCTAGGAGGGACACAGCTGCACACACCTAACAACCTGGCTTGAATTGCGGCTGTTGTGCATCCTGCAGCAGAATCAGAAACAAAAGCTATGTGAGGCCCAGAACTGTCCCCACAAGCTATTACCGAGGTGCCAAAGAAGACAATTTGCTCTTACTCTTTGCTCATCACGACACTTCCATTGTCCTCTTCCTCCGGCTTACTGGTGGACAGGTTGGTGGGATTGTTTTTAACTAACTCTTCTGACCTTGTAGAACTTTCCGAGTTGCTTTCGGCACTTTCATTACTTTTCTCCTTCTGATTGACACCTTTACATCTCCTCCTTGGCTTCACTCCCAGCCTGCTATTCCCATTTTCTGCCTGCTTTTCTTCATTGGGATGCATCTGCAGCTGGTTTTCACTGCTATTTTCCACCTCTCTGGACAGAATTGCCTTTTTTCCATGGTTGCCTGGAATGTCGCCCAAATCTATGTTTTCCGAAAGTTTCTTGGCTGAAGGTGTCACTGAATGAGATCCCATGCCATTGTTCTGACTTTGCATTGCAATTGATTTCTCTGGTATACTTTGATTTTCATTTGTCATGAGTACTGGAAACTCCTCTTCTTTGCCAGGTAATTTTTCAGGGAAGGATAGAATTGTTTCCATTTCTAGCACGTTGTTTCCTCTTAGCTGGTTTTTTTGTTCCTCCTCATGCATGGGGAAAGGTTCACAGGATGGCTGACTTGTACATGGTGCTACCTGCACATCATGTACTTCTTTTCTGCCAGCATCGCACTCACATGTTTCAGATGCACACAGGATCTGCTGACCTCGATCCACTTTTCTACTGCTCAGTTCAAGCAGTTCATTTTGTGAGTCTCCAAATTGTCCAACAGCATGTACTGTGTGCTTACTTAATTTCAGAAGCCAATCTGCAAGGCTGGTCGCCTCTGAGGAAGCAAACAGAAAGGGTAATGCATTGTTGTTGTTTTATCCCTTGGTAAATACATGGTGCACAATTTCATTTGTAAGTCAAATCATGGAGGTTCACACCCGTCTTGTATCTTCTTTCAACTGCTTTTTAGCTACTTTTCCACAGGATAGAATTAATTAAGCTCATCTTTTCCCCATTAACAAAAAAAAGATAACCAAAGCTGCCAATAAATCTGCCTTCATCTATATAGCCCATACGGTGTAGTGTTGTTTTTTAAATGGTAGAATATGATAGACTCTGAGACCTGGCAAATGATTGGCAGTAAACATAGGGGGTTAGATCCAGATTTACTCTGGATCAGATCTGTTGGTGGAGATGGAATTCCAACCCCTGGATTCCAAAGAAATTGCCAGAATTAAGAGACTCTGCTGAAGGGGTTAAGCTGTGGTGCGTGTGGGGGAGAAGAGTGTCTTAAAATTGCATGGACAAACCTTCAGTTGGAGACCTTCCTCTTACAGATTTAACCCAGAATTTTGCATGGAGGATTGATGTCAACAGATCCACATTTTAGACATTCTCTTGAAAATCTAACATACGAGTCAGAAGGGGTCTCCTGGGCCATCTAGTCTGACCCCCAGCTCTAGCTGGCTCCACTCATGACATGCCCATCATGTGCATGTCTAGCCTATCCCATCTATTATGCATATTTCCATGGAATTACATCTGTCTTACTTCAGTAGAGTACATCTGTCTTACATCTGTCTTACTTCTTACAACCAAGTATATGAGTGTAGGTGGTAGGTTAAGTTATCTGGAGATGTGTGAAGCATGACCTTTGCAGTCAGGACCTGTCCTGTAATTTAAGGCTGATCAACATGTATTCAAAGATATGTGCTATGCATTGTTATAGGGTGAAGCCCACAAAACACTTTTCTTTCTTCAAAATCACGCAAATTTCTTCATAGCCTTGATTTGCTTTGCCCTTCTGACTTCAGCAGCTCAGTTTTATAATACAATGAGGCTCTGCACTGAGAAGTATTTTTCTCAGTGGAAGAAGCTGAAGAATGGCAAAGAATCAGAAAAGGAACAGATGTAGATCAAACATGGAGTACACCAGTTTCATTATTTTCCCAGAAGAAAGCACCCTCTGTGGCTTTCTTCATTGTTCCAGAGGAACTGTAGGTTCCTGCATCAAAAGCCAAAGAAATGAATTTTCCATTCCTTTGTATTATGAAAATGGTGATATATGTATGCTTTATGATGATTCTTATACAAAATTGCTCCCTCTCACTAGGTTGTTTGTTTTGAGACCCTGGCACTTGATGATTGACAACAGCATCCTTTAAGTAATGGCCTTTTCATGCTCAGTCACTACCCCAAGCCACAAGAATTCATGTCATAGCCCTCTTGTCTGATCAGTGGTTGAAAAATGTTGTTGTTTGCACATGGATATGAGAAAGAAAAAAAGAAGTCAAAAGTTGAATCGTGCTAGTTTTGAAGCTCCTCGCTTTCTAAAGCTACTTTGGAGATCGTGACTGGGTTCAGACAACAAAATAATCCAACACATATTTAGACATTCTGATTTACTTACCTTGTTGCCAGTCTTGACCATGGAGTGTGTTCAGTAGCTTGTAGGTATTGTGAAGAATCTTAGCTGTGTGCTCCAGTTGTTGGCTGAGGGCTTTGACCAAGTCCAGAAGGAGAGCAATCAGTTCTGGAACATACTCTAAACTCTCATTCTCTTGACATTCACTTTTAAGAGTTTCTCCTAAAGTTAGGTTGAGGTGCCAGATCTGTTCCAGAATTTGATTTGGATCCTCAGTGACAGCTTCTGTGACTTCCATGCCCAGTTCTTAAATTAACACCAATGAGTTGTTTTGTCCTTTTAATGATAAGACTGAGAAATAATGTATACTAGGTCCTACTGAGACATAAACAGTGGATGAGGAAACACTTGAGCCACTGTTGATAATTAAAAAGTTACTAGGTGACAAATAGGTGTGGCCTTCCTGGAATGCATAGAGTGAAACTGGAAAGGACTAATACTTGATTTGAACTGAAGTGATTTACCAGAGTAACTATGATGCTTTAAGACATTGATGTATAACACTATTGATTATATTATAAAACTTTAATTCCAGTCCACCACTGATGAATTCTGCACTGCTGCAGTTGAAGCTGCAGGCAGTGAAGTGCTAAGCATGTTTGCGCAGAAGATCTCTTTGGCTTCTTGGATGGATCTTGGTGTGAAGAATACCCATAAGACCTCTCGTTCTATTTATCTACCCACAGAGGTCATCTCACCTTGAATGCACCAGGCAAAGATGACAAAGATACCCCACCATGTGCCGCGTGAGCTCTTTTGCCCTGTTGTAGCTTCATTGTCCTGCCAAGCTGTCAGGAGATTTATCAGGCAGAATATAATAAAAGCTGAGCAGAATTGGTGGTCAAAGAGGCATTCAATGAAGTTACTGCTTTTGTGTGCTTCATCTCTGTTTGCATGCTGTGAATAGAAAGGCTTCAACCTCTGCATAATTCCTCCAGGAAAATGAGTGGCCTGCCAAGGTCTCCATCTGCCGAAAATTACTCTGTCTAGAAGGCTTCTGGGCAGACAGAGTTGCCACCAAAATGTGCAAAACGCAGCTTCTCCTAAATGAAACAGAACATCAAAAGGTGGCAACCTCATCCCGAAATGAAGTTTGAGCCTACTGAGGGGATGCCAGGATCTATGAAACTATGGTAGTTCCATTTCTACGTTTCAGCAGTGAGGTAGACCCCTCAGGCGGCAGAGTCTGAGGGTCATGAAAGGGCAATAAAGCCTTAGTTGCTTCATTTATTATGGCTACTGCATTTTTGACACCAGTACAGCAAGAGAAGCTTGGCAGATTTTTTTCCTTGTGTGTCAAACAAAATGTGGGTGGTTCTAGGTACCATCTGCAGTTCTGCTCCAGGTAACAAGCATCTCAGGAGAGAGCCCTGGCAAGGTAGAAAAGGTCACAAAAAGGAAAACTGGGAAAGGGGTGGTGCTTGATTTGACATGAGCTCCTAAAAGTTTGTGGTATCGCAGGAAAGCAGTTGATGGGATCTCTGGAATGCTGAAGAAGGGCCTATTAGGCGAAGATACGCTGCAAACATTTTTTGCTGGTCCCACAGGTGTAATTCACAATGAAGTAGTTTCACATGTACTGATACGAGCTGCATTTGGAGCACATCATCACTTTGGCCAAGCTTAAGGGACACAGAAATTCTCTTATACCAGCACATCTAGTTGGTATTTTCAACATCAAGGGTGAGGAACCATTCAGGCCAAAGGCCACATTCCAGGTAGAAACACTGGTGCACCTGTGTGTATTCCAGGGGAAAGGGGATGGAGTGGATAAAAGAGGGCAGGCAGCCTTCCACAGAACCCCAGCAGCCACAGGGGCCAGATCCGAGTCTGCACTTAAGCTACTGAACCCCTGATATACACTTAGGCTTTCCTACATTTGTGCTGGAGGCTTATCCTGGCTCCTGTGCATGCAAGGCATGTTCTGAAGCAAAGGGCCCTTCCACAGTGGTATGTGAATGTTTAAGATGTCATATTTGCATTTAAATGGTCTTACTGTATAGGATAAATGTGCATTCAGAAATGGCAGTGGGTTAAAAAGATAAAACCCAGAGGTGTGGTGACAGGGCTCAAACAATCCACCAGTTGTTTATGTAATAGTGCTTTGTCTGTTTCATTTCTTCAGAGAGTAAAATTTGCAAATTGACAAAACACCCTAAGAAAATGCTTTGAGAAGCCTTGGCGAATCAATTTTTAAATGAGCAATTGCATCTTGCAAAGAAATTGCAAAGTCTTTCCCCAGTGAGGGTAATGTTGACACTCTGAATTAAAATACAGTATCAGATAAGAACATCTCTGCGGTGTTCAAAGCTGTCCACTGGCATTTATAAATTGGAAGAAACCTAGGAACCTCGTAAGCTCTCAGAATTATATTGCCTTCTTCCTCTTGCAAGATCAGAATTGCATCAGGTTCATGGAATACAATTTCCTTTCTGATGTTTGTAAGAGACTTTCTGGCTCAGCCCCTTTCTGCAGTGTGAATGAATTTACAGCATGCAAAAACATTCATGCAGTTATGGCAAAGAATGATGCCCTCCAGGATCTGATAAGCTTCCCCATTTCTATAAAATGGAGAATAGTATGTACAAGCTATTGTGCTGGGAGCCGAACCATAAAATAAACTTCTACTTGTAACTTTCTTTGTGATGCATTTGGTAAAAAACATACAGCAGACTGGAAGCAAAGAAATATACTGAAGATCATTTCATGTGTCTTCGGTTTTAGATGGAGAAACAAAATCTAAGTCTGTTGTTTGAGGCCTGTCTTTTCAAGGCCATGGTGGATGGATGACACACTAGTGGGACATAAGATACACCAGTGGAACTCCTAAAAAATGGCTGGCAGAATATTTCACAGTACAGCTGTCCTACCAGTGAAGACATGTTGACACGTTGAGGAAATTACTAGTTATCCAGAAGAATGGGAGCAGGATTGGGGTGGCAAAGGGAGATGCACTTATGGTGTATTCTATACTCCTCCCGACACTTGTGCTCCTAGCGATGGCATCAGTTTGCATAAGCTCCAGTGCTGATGCTAGGAATTTCCTTCCCTTTGAGCACACGCCTAAGCATTTAGCAGCACCGGTATCGATGGCCCTGTCCATCTCATCACAGCACACAGGATACGGTATCACTCGGCAACCATCATCAAGCACACCACCACAAGAGCAGAGCCTCCTTCGCATATACAGACCATGGATGACGGAGTGCCTGGCATGGCGTTCTTTCTCCCTTGCTCTAGAGCTCACCAAGGGAAAGGAAAAGCAAGAAGCTGCTGCTGGAGGAAACTCTCCTGTCTGTATTCTCTGCTATCCAGATCTGCCTGGCAAAAGAAGCATCGGCGCCAGTCATGCTCACATTGGCTGCTCTGTGCTCCCTTGTGCCTCTGCCTTTTCAGATGCCCACCTGTGGCTTTGGAACATGCTGGCAGTGGAGAAGTGTGCCATGCCACTTCCAGCTACAGCAACCTTGGAAACAGCTGTTGCTCCTGCTTATCTGATTGCTTCATATTTGCAAGCTGCTTGTGAGCAGCGTTGCCTTTGTTTTTCTGGCAGAAGCACTGCTCATCAGCAAGTTGCACTGACACAAGGGAAGCAAGGGACATTGTCAGCAGGGCAAGTGTTCTGAAAAGCCCATGTCACCTACTCTGGCACCCAACCTGTCCCGTTCATCCCCATCTGGTCCCTGGCTTTCCTTGGGACTCAACAACCCCCACTGCCACCTTCTCCAGTAGTTTGTGGTTGTGAGAGGCACTCTGACAGCTACTGTGGTCTCAAGTTGTGTAAGCCTTTATTGATTAAAACCAACATCTTGAGTTGGGTGCAGAAGCATACAGGCAGGCAGTGCAAGCAGGCCACAATTGGCTTTATGTGTTCGGACTTACTGGTCCCAGTATGCCCTTACGTTCCTAATCTGGCTGGCACATTCTGCATGAGCTGCAGCATCTGAACAGTGTTCAAGGGCAGCTGCATGCAGGCTGCATTGCATTAATTGAGAGATCACTGAAGCCAGGCTATCCCTGTCCAAATAGAGACATAGCTGGACCACCAGCCAAAGTTGGAAGAAGGCGCTCTGAGTCACCGAGGCCATCTGAGCCTCAAGTGACAGAGATGGATGAACTTGAACTTGCTCCTTCAGAGTGCAACCCCAGAGCAGGTGGAATACCCTTTGTCTGGTCAGAGGAACCACCTACCAACAGCAGCTCCACCTTGTCTGCAGGGAGCTTCAATTTGTGAATCCCCATCCAGTCCACTGTTGTAGCTACAGTTAAACTACAACGTAACAGTTGGCAACCTCTGAGCTGTCTCCTGTAACTATGTCCTTACAGGGAGATTGATTGCTGCCCTTAGCTAATGATAAAGCTTCTCTCAAGGCCCTTAAATCCTACTTGATGGTTTTCAAAGATCACACTGCTGTTTAAAATAAAACAGCAAACAAAACTTGGCTTCTTTCCCTATTGGCCAGCTTCACTGCATTAGTTGAACATACAGTACATAGAATGAAGTGGCTGGGGATTTACCCCATTGAAATCACAGCTCATCATTTAATTAAATAATTTCCTGGTTTTACTTGTGTATCACACAGTATGACCCTGAGTGCAGGCCTATTTAGAACAAGGGTGATCAGATGGCCATCTGGAGCCATGGGTAGGTCTTCTTGGTCTGGAGATCAGCAAAGGTAATTGACTCCCAGATCTTCAACAATGTGTATTGCTAGGCCTAAATCAAACAGTTAAGACTCTCTGGTCTATATCGATATGTGGTTTGTATTTATGCATGTATCTCATCCCGAAGTATGGTTTAAGGGCTTCAGCAGGGACACTTGTCCTAAGGACTAAGCCAACATTTTGCATCTGGCTCCAGTAAGCAGGTTGAGATACTAATAAAACACACAAAAACAGAGGAACTCTCCCAACCATGAAGAGTGCTTATCCACTGATTTAGAAGTCCCAAGTAACTTATGTCTAAATAATGCCATGTGAGATGCCACTGAAATGAACAGGGCCAACGACAAAGCTTGCGAAATTCTCCTGGGCGACTTCCTTCTAAGGCGCCAGCCCCCACCCGGCTCCTTCCATTGGCTTTGGACTGCAGCTTCCATGAGCCCAGTCATCGTGACCAAGGGTCAGGACCACGGGAGTTGTCGCCCCAAGCATCTGGAGGGGAGAGCAGGCTGCCCGAAGGCATCCCTTCGCCTACTCACACACAGCCCGTCCAATGGAGGAGCCGCCGCAGCCCACGCTTCGGCCCTGCGCGCAAGCAACCACAGGCGCAGGCTTGAGCGGGTTAGGGAGCGCCGCCGCTGCCGCCTTCTCCCCGGCTTGAGAGGTTCAGGGAGCGCTTCCGCTTTGCTCGTTCTGAGGTGCTGCCTCCCAGTTAACCCCTTCCTAGCGGAACTTACAAAGTCCAGGTTAAGAAAGGAACTTATCAGAAAGAGGGTGGGTAGGCGAGAGAAAGAGAAAGGAGAGAGAGAGAGAGAGAGAGAGAGAGAAAACGACGAGTCACTTCCTTTTTCCTGGAGAGAACGGCTTAAAAAAAATCTAGAGGTAAGTTTGTAAGGAGCGGGGGGAGGGGAGGAGAAATGCCCCCTCCTAGTAGAGTCTCCGAGGAGTGCTTGAAACTTCTTTCCGAGCTCCAGGTTGTTCTGCCTCGCCTCCATCGGGGGTGGGCGACTCCTCTCTCCACGCTCTTCGCGCTCGTGCGGATTTCTTCTTCTGGAAATCAGATTCACTTCCTTCTCTGGGAAAGTCTTTAGGGGGCGTTTAAAGCATGGGAGTGATCGCCTCGTAAACTGAGACTCCCGCCCTCCTGGTTAATTAATCAACTTTTTTTTTTGGGTGAGGGGGGAGGTTCTGAAAAACAACTCACTTCAGAGGGATGATGCGGGGAAAGGTAGTGCGCGGTTAATGAGAACTGGCGGCTTGTTTACAGCTGATATTAAGAGACGATCTAATTTCGGCATGGTTGGAAAAGTAAGTTGGACTCGTGATTCGCAGGGGCAAAGCTAGTGGGGGGTGGCTGAACGAAGCGAAGATTAAGAAAGGTAGAACATGATCCATTTAGTTCCTTCTCATCTGTGTATTTCGTCTGTCTTTAAAGTTTACTTACAGAAATGAGTGTTTTGTTTTAATAATGAAGCTTTGGGATTGTGAATATTCTTTAGGTACATCGTCTCAGCAGCCCTTACAACAGCCCTGTGAGGTAGCAGGTGGCTGTTATTCGTATTATACTTGGAGGCAAAGAAGCTGAATTTGAGAATATTTGTTTGAGGACATAATTCTGTACGTGTTTGTACAGGAAAAACCCTACAATTCCTAGCATTCCCCAGCTGCATGGCTGCCTGGTGAGCGCTGGAGGTTGAAGGATTTTTTTCTGGCTGAAAATCCATAGGATAGCTCCCTTGGAAAACGTGCTACTGAAGCAAGATTGCAGAGATATTATAAATCCGGAGCATTTTAAAAGGCATCTAAGATTGCCCACTTTAAAAATATAAATAGAGCTTCGGCTGATCCTTTTTATTGGCACTGTTGATCTCTACAATTTTTAAATTAGCTAAATTCTTCCTAAGTACCTGCTGAGAAAAGATTGGCTTGTCTGCCTTTCTTTCTTCCATATTTCTGATAAAAGTAGAGAAGGAGCAGTGCTGTTAAGGCAAGCTGGCAGTCCCTACTTTGAGTAGATGCCGTTTAGCTGAACTGGCAAAAAGGGGACTTGCAAGTTTAGGCAGGCCTGTTCATCCTTCCTCCATGTTTGTTATAACTATCGCAGTATCTGAAGGATGAGAAATGGTCTGCTGGAACTTGTTAATGAAGGCTTTTTAACAGGACTCAAGCTGCTTTATGTTTCTCTCCTGCAGTCCAGGTTTGTTTACAGTGGGAGACCTCAACCCTGGAACATAGGACGTAAAAATAGACAAAAGTGTTTCTGAGCAGGTGCAGAGTGTTTCTTTTGAGCCTCAGCACCACTTTTTCTACATATTAAACAGTGCCTTTCTGGTGGAGGAGGGCTGTAAGCTTTGAAAATGTTTTACTTATCAGCACTCCTGTTCCCTGAGCAGGCCTGTACATGTGGGATGTTGGCCTTGGAGAGCATAAGGTGTAAATTGCTACAGGCCGCAGTTAAGCAACTGTCCTCCAACCTCTGTTTTGCTTTGTGGGAGTTGCTGCTTATTCATGCTGAGTCTCTTCAGAGGATTGTTTCGCTGGGTTTCCCTTCGACATCAGCTGTACTTAAAGGTCCACAAATATCAACACTTGATGAATCTTGAAACTTGGAGGAAAGCCTTAGCACAAGTGTTACTGTTGCAGGATTCTGTTATGATATGCCCTTAATGATTCATTGTGCAGCAACTTATGTTGCTTCAAAGCTATTTCACTATACATGCCTGTTAGATAGACATGCAATTGCTTAATTCAAGAGTATACAAACTTTCAGCCCATGGGCTGAACTTCATTTTGAAGAAGTTGAGGGTAGTAACATTCTGGTAGTAAGCCATGGCCAGAAATCAAATACCGGTATATTTTAACTTAAAGCTGGTACTGCCAGAAAATAAGCCAGGGCTTTTCATCTTTTTTTTTTTTTTGGTTGGATCTGTAGGCATATTTGGGAACTTGAGAAACAGCTGTGGGTGCCACCACAAAATGCTTAATCAGTGGATCATTACCTTGGCGTCTACCTGCCGTCTCTATGCATCTTAAGCTGCATCTTATTCAGCAAAAATTTTTGCGTTATTGGACACCACAACTGCTCTTCAATAAGGGATTGTCTAATTCAGCCATTTGCTGGATATGCAACAGCTAATGAATGCTTCTTTTAAACTTATGCACTGTTGATGTCTAGTAGTTATTTCCTTTCAGGAAGAGGTTTTCACATGTATACATTTTTGCACTGGAATAGTCTTTAATATTCATGGATGTTTTATTATCATTATTATATTGAATTTATATTCCTCCCCTCTTCCTTGCATGAGGACCCCATGGCAGCTTACATAGCTGTTTTATCTGCACAACAACAACCCTGTGAGGTAGGTTAGACTGAGAGTGAGTGACTGGCCCAAAGTCGCTCAGAAAGTTTTATGACTGAGTGGAGAACTAGTACCCAGATCTCCCAGTTCCCCAACCCCGGACACACTCTAACTACCATGCCGTATACTGGCTCTCACGAATGATGTACACACTCTTAAATGATTTGACAGCTTCAAGGAAATTATCAAATGGAAAGGAAAATGGAATCTCTGTGCCCTTTAGTAAGCTGAAAGACATGTTACATCACCTCCTATCATACAGTGGATTGAGGGCCTTACAATGTTTTTGACAGGTGAATGGGTGGCATATATATTTGCCAAGTTCACATGGATCCTTCTTTGGATGGTTGGCCTGCTTTTGTTGAAGCCTATGCACAGTTGCTGGAAAGCTGCATGCATTTCATACAAATTCATGTATGCATATTTTAAAATGGAAAAAGGAAAAAAACAATTTGGGTGCTCATGTCAGGCACCCCTGAACTTAGCCATAGGAGATATATTTCAACATTTAAAAATATGGGAAATAGCACAGGGGATTATAGAATGATGAATGACTGGGGGAAAGGGAATGGGATTTTTCAAGGAACCCTGCAGAGTTGAATTTTAAATATGGGTTTTATTTATTTGTTATGTGATGCTGTGCTTTATTGTTGTATCGCTGTCCTGACACCTCTGTAAAGGGTGGGGTAGAAATGCTTTTAATAAATAAATAAATAAATAAATAGGCCCTGGAGATGTTTGTGAGGAATGGTCTCTTTCAGACCTTGCTGTTCCTCTGTGCACAGTGGCATTCACAGAACAGGTAACTTCTGCTCTGAATATCAGAAGTTACTTCAGAATCTTTTCTTTAACATTCAAAATTTAGCAGTGACATTGCAGTGTAATGGTATATTTTCTGTATGCTTGGGACAGTGTCTTATCTGATTTTTTAATTTTTTTTTGCATTTTGTAATTGAAGGATCCAATCTACTGCCCTACATAATTATTCCACGTGTTGATTGTTTTCTTTCCATCCTTTTGTCAAGGATTTTTCAAAAGTCATGTTTCAGCACTGCTTTGGAGCAGGCCTCAACTTGCCTGTGAGAATAGGTGCCAAGATCAAGGTATGCTGTCACTAGAACTGCCTTGAAAGATCCAAACTGTATTTAAATCAAATCCTGCTTTCATCTGTGGTGAAAGAAACCCGCCCCCCCCCGTGGCATTTTTACACTTTAACTTGATTTTATTATGACAGCAGGATGGTCTTTTCCCAGCACTGTATTATCAACTTCAGAAGGAAGTGCAGTTGCATTAATCACAGCACTACCTTAAATGTCCATCAGATGTCTCTGTATGCAGGAAGCTCATACATGGCACAAATTCTTAGGAGGGCAAAATGGATTTATGGGTGTTTTTCTCCTGGCGTATTTATGAATGCATTTGTCCAAAGCTCTTCTGCAGGGCTATTTTGTTCTCCCAACTTTTCTTTATTATGCAATCCGTGGTGGCATGATTTGAAATTCTGGAACTGGTCCAGCATGGCTGGGTAATTTCAATCTCTTTGGTTTGGTAATCAGCAATGTTCTGTTTACAGATCTCCAAAATCTATTGTAAAAAGTAATGAATAAGATTCCAGTTTGGCAAGCTTGGAAACGGAGGCACAATGTTAGTGTTAGCTTTATTACTTGCTTTTGCCTAGGGAGGGGCTTGAAATGAAGAGCAGTCAGGAGCCATGGTGACTGTTCATGTTACTTCAGTGGTCAGAGCTGACACATCTGGTTTAGCTGTGGGCAAATACAGTCTACAAGCAATGCCTTAAACACTGTTTGGTTACTTGGGTGTAATTGTGTGAAATTGGATGTAATTGTGTGAAACTGCATTTTGCTGAGAAACTGATAAACCCGTTCCTCTTTTGCACTGGTGCTAGAAATTCTTCAGAGGGGTGTGTGTGTGTTTGTGTGTGATGCAGGTGGAACCACTTTCTGAGTCAGTTTTAAGTGTTTCCAATGAGGAAGTCTTTCAGGGTGTGTACAGCCAACATGTCCAATAGCCATTAATAGCCTTTTCAGGTAGGTTCCCTGCATGATTTAAACTTCTGATCACACAGGCACGCTCTCTGCTGCTTCCAGTATGGGAAAGCCCATACCACAGTGGTTGAGCACAGACGTGGCATGCAAAATGTTCCCAGTTCAACCCCCAGCATTTCCAGGTAGGGCTAGGAACCGGATCCCCCTGAAATGCCGGAAAATGTTGCCTGCCGGGGTCAAAAATGCAGGGCTAGATAGACCAAGGATCTGACTTGAAGGAGCTTCCCATGCTCCATAGTTGCAAGATGATGGCTAGTTCAAGGGCTTGATGTATGGAACTGGTTACTCATGGGCCCAGTTGGCATGAAACTTTCTCCTCAGAAAAGCAGGGAAGAAAGATGCTCTGGTTCAGTTGCGGAGGCCTGCCAATTGCTACCTGGGCTGTATTTTTGAGCGATGTAGAAACTTTGGATGCAGGAGCACCCCAGTTTGATCCCCAGCATCTTCAGGTGGAGCTAGAAAAGGATCCTGCCTGAAATCCTGGAAAGCTTCTGCCTGTCAGTAACAATACTACTGGGCTAGATATACCTGTGTCACAGCAACCATGGATTTGTGGTGCTCCATCCAGCAAGGAGAATTCACAGAATTTAGTTCCTTTAGCGGCATTTTCTCTAACAACTCCTGTAAACTGTGTGTCAAACCAGCTTCTGCTCCTGTGCTATTTAGCCTGACAGGCCTCCACAACCTTGGTTGACTGAAAAAGGAACTGGTAGTGCATTTTAAAATCTCTTCTTCGTTTCCTATAGTCTTCATGTCCACTCCTGTGTGTTCTGATATTCCCCTGGTTAGGTGGTATTTTGTTTTTATTTTTTACCAGCCCCAGCTCTTATTTTTCCTGCTGTGGTAACATTGTTTATTTTGCTGTTTTGTGGTGGTGCTCTTTCTTTTAAATGTTCTTTGTAATTATGTGTTATTGTTATAATGCAAATTAACTTAGTGAGTGACTTCTTGAAGGATAGGGTGCTTATTAAATAATAAATAAAAGACCTGGTGTAATTTAGTGGATAATACACTGAGAGCCAGTGTGGTGTAGTGGTTAAGAGCATGGGACTGGGACTCAGATGATCTGGGTTCTAGTCCCCGCTCAGCCATGGAGCCAGCTGGGTGACTTTGGGCCAGTCACAGCCTCTCAGCCCAACCTACCTCACAGGGTTGTTGTTGTGGGGATAAGATGGAGGAGGAGAATGATGTAAGCTGCCTTGAGCCCTTTGAGGAAAAAGGCAGGATATAAATCGATAAATACATACATTCATATATACATACAGTAAGCTAAGAATTAATAGGTTCCCAGTTCAAATTTTGCCACTTAATAAGGCCTGCTTAGATGAGGTGCTTTCTCTCAACTCCTATCACATATGTAGGAGATGGTATTACTTACCGTACAGGGCTGTTGTAAGGATTGCAACTATGTATGGCATATGAAGCACTCTGAACAATTAAAAGTGCCACCCAAATATTATTTATTATTTAATAATAAAATGGCCTCACCTGCTGTTCTCACAAGGCTGACTGGAGAGTAAAAGACCACTTATCTGTAAAGAAGGGAGTTGCTGCAGGGAAGGGACATTAGCAGGAAGATCTGGAAACAACAACAGACTTTGTGCCATAATGAGTTTGTTAGTCTTGGGTGACCTTCCCCAACTTGATGCCCCCTGCATGTACAGGATGGCAGCTCCCATCATGCTCAGCCATTCTGGAAATGGCCCTGTTTCCTTGGTTGGTGGGAGTTATAGTCCTAAACATTGGTGCCAAGAGTGAAACTCTGGTATTGAAAATCTATTCCTCCTGGGCTGTGCTCTGGCACAATTGAAGCTCTTTGTTGGCCACTGTGCAAAGAGTGGCGAGCCTGCACATGGTGAGGAACCTGGAGATTTTGGGGGAGGAGAGCTGCTGGGTGGGACTGTGGGGTGGGGTACTAGAACTGGCTTGTGAAGCCCATCTTAATAATCTTAATTCCATGAGGGATGGAGCAGGCTGCTCTTGCTCAGTGGAAAGGAAAAGGCACTCTGCAAATGCTCCAACATTTTTCGTGTGGGTCTCTATGGAAGTAGTAGAAACAATGGCTGGTCACCGAGGCTGATTGCCATTTATGGATCCTTGCTGGTCTTCAGAGATGTGAGGAAAGTATGACTCCACAGCCTAAGTGCTTTTACAAATCAGATCTTTGTCTCCTGAGTAGAGAAATGCAATTCTAGGCGATATCACTAAATGCCAACAGTGAATTTGGCTAGATGGAAAAGATCCATGTTGAGGTATTCATATATTCAGAATAATAACACAGAGAACAGCACACAACTGGTTGTTTGGAGACAATGCTTTCCTGTCACAGATGAGCAACTGAATGGTGAATTTGTTCCTTTATTTTGTTGTCTTCAGTAATGTTACAAAGCTTTGAGAATATCATGCATCAGAAATCCAGGTTTAAACTCTTCAGTGCAAAATATGAAAGCCAGATATCTGTTTGCTTTAACTGATAACATACCTTGGCAGTAAAAGTATTATAAAATATTCTTCTTTATTAATACCAATAACAACACTGATCTTGGAGTATAAACATCTCTGCTTCTAATGCATATATTTTCTCCCTTCTCTCTCATATGCTGTAGGAATTGAAGGAGTATTAAATTTATATGTGCTCTTACTGCTTATGGAAGACATTCATTCTGCCCAGGAGGGCTGAAAGAAGAATTTTGTCTTGATTCTAAATGTGTGTGTAGCATTATGCTTCTTTGGAGCTCTGAGAAAGAGTGGGAGTAATGAGGCTGCCAGTATGTCATCGAGGGATGTTGATGGGGATATCAAAGAATTCTTAGATGGCATCAACTTGGGACAATATGCTCCAAACTTTCAAAGCTCTGGCTACAACACTTTGCAAGACTGTGCAGGGATAAACAACCATGCACTTCAACAAATTGGAATATCTCCTACTGGGCACCGCCGAAGAATTCTCAAGCAGTTGGAGGCCGTATTCACAAGAATGCTGGAAAAATCTGCATCTGCTGAAAACCAGAAAATGGAAAGTGCTGAAGAGTTAGGAAATGGTTGTTCCAGCATGCATCCGCGGAATCCAAATGAGAGCGAAGCAACTAAACTGGTATCCAGTGAATGGACCAGTATGGATTTGGGTAATAATTGTGTGTCTATGGGGGATCAAGAGGTTGTAGACCGTGAATCTGTAGAAGCCACAGGCATCACACCTTCATATTTAGGCTCTTGTCACCTCTTAAACTGGTCACCAGAAGTTACAGCGGTTTCAGGAAATGCACTGCGTGAAAAGATCTCATCTGTAGATAATCTGTTAGGAAAAGTACAGTCAGAAACTGTTATCGCTGAAGCAGATGCTGCTGGCAATGAAATGAAGTCAAGTCAGGATGAGTGTCAGATTTTGGCAAGTTTGGCTGATACTTCACCTGGCTCCCCGTTTGTTGAATTTAAAGGTGAAATGGTGGAGAACGACTTGTATGGCACTTGTAACCTGAGTCCTGCCAAAGTGGCCCCTCGATCAACGCGATCTTTCATTCTTAGGCACCGTCCTGTTCCAGAAATACCTGGCTCTGCTACACCTACAGCTTCAACAAGGTAATCTTCCTTAAATACAAACGAATGCTAAATGTGCTGTCATGCCTTGTGCATGTTTGATATGTACTATTTGGGTGATCCTTACAATTCTGTTCCTCTAGACAATATTATCATTGGTGTATTCAAGATGGCTAGGCTGTGTTTGTGCCTTGATGGAAGAAGCAAGACTTGAAGCAAACACTTCCTGGCTCACAGCATATTTTCTTAGAGGTCCATCTTGTTAGGACTGGAGTCAAGGCTAGGCATGATTGGGCACCTGCCAAAGACATATCCCAAGAAGTCCCCTGCAGGTGTGCCCCTTCTTCACCTTGACAACAAGTTTGTTCACCTGGTCCAGACATAGTGATGGTGAGGAGGAGGAGTCGATCCCATGGCCTACTTGTCCACTGGCTCTCTGGCATTCAAGGAAGCAGGAGGTAGCAGTGGACAGAGCCAGTGAGAAGCTAGTAACAATGGTAATATGAAGGTTAAACATTTGAGGGACTGGAAAAAAAACAGTTTCCCCATCTTTCCTCAGGGACTGTTATTTTTCTGGTGAGATGATGTAGCAGTCAAAACAATTCCACTCTAAAATCCATATGTCAGAGAAAAAAATGTAGCTTATCCTACCACAGCCATCAGATGTGCCAGAACACCTCCATTTCTTCTCTCTAACTTTGTGGTTTGGATGTCTCAAACTCAGTGCTACAAGTTTTAATGAAGTTCTCCTTTAGACTAACCACTGGGCCATACTGTCTCAGTTATAAAACCTTTTAACTGCTGTAGTTAGAATGAACTGTGTTTTTTTACCTAAAAGAGACTCAGCAGTCTGGTTCCTGTCATGTAAGCATGGGATGGACACTACTACTAGAGATAATAGGTGGGTTCACAAGTATTGGCAATACATCATGGTGATTTAGCACAGAGGGCTAGTAAACATTCTCTTCCTTGCCCTGTAACTCTCATAATGAGATCATCAATCAGGCTTGTTGTGGGAGCTTCACTCCTTTTGCTCTCTTGTTCCTCCCGGCAGTATGAAGGGGCACCATAGGAAGGATGAGACTCCTTTCTCCAACCATTGCAATGACAAGCCAATTTTGGCTTGCTACAGCTGTCAGAGAACCCCCATTGCACAAACAGGGCACACGTTCTCAAACGGAACTGAACTGACATCCTGCCTTGATAGGAACAGTGTGCAGGAGACTGGAAGTTGACCCCATTGTATTTCAGGACGCAAACCCTGTTTGTGCAATTGGGACAAAGAAGAATAAAAAAAAAACTTTTCTCCCATTGCACAAAGATTCATGCCCTGGTGCACAGATGCTTCCCTGATCACTGTTACATTCTGGTGCCCTGCAGTGGGGCAGTAGCATGGTGCAGAATGAAGATGTTCATCTCTGCATGCTGCCCAACTGGTCTATTCTCTACCAGGAGGCATAAGGTCTAATCTGCTCTGCATTATCGCCCTGAGCATTGGGGCAGCGATGCTGAGCAGATCTTCACATCTTGCTTGAAAGGTCTGCTGCCTGGAACCTAGTGTGGCAGTGTAGAATGGACACGGGGGAACCCTCTGACAGCCACCCAGAGGTGCTACTTGGGCACTGAGGAGGAAGCTGCCAGCCACAGTCTCTGGCTAGCTGCTTGGCAAGGGGCTTTTGCTACTCTTTCCAAATAATGTGTTTGGCAATGGGGGCCAACTGCATTGTGGGTCAAACAAAGCTTACAATAAAGCATTGATTCTTATCATAGTGGGTAACCACACGAAGAACCAGCAGTTGCCAGCTGTCACTGCATTTATATGGCATGGCAAACAACCAACAATCATAGGTTGTTGTTGTCCAAACCCACACTCAGATACCTGGAACTGGCTCTGAATCCGGTGATCACCAGGCAGTGTCCCAGGGGCCATAGGTTTTATTCAGAAGGCCTCTTCCAAAGCCACAGAAATAGCTATAACTGTGAAGGGTTTAAAATTTTTATTTTTTATGTCCCAGCTCACTCGTGACTCTTCTCAGCTGCTGTGGTCACATCCTCTATGAAGCTGGAATGTTGTCTGTGGGATCCTAATCCCTCCCAGCCAGAGCCAACATCCCAGGAAAAACATTTAAAATGATAAACTGCATATCTAAATGTTTCTTCCAGTGTCAGCAATAGGGAAGACCCCCTTTGCTACCATCCATGGCAGGAAGAAAAATACAATAAGCCCCAGGTCCTTCTCTGACCCCTGCTGTGCTCTCATAGGACTGCTCTTTTAGCCGCTATGCCATGACCATTTCTCAATTATAGAAATAGTGTGGCTGATTGAACTGATTCAGTATATTTCAGAAACATGGGTTGAAATAGGGAGACCAGATGCATGGAAGAACTGGGCTTCTGTAGTCCTACAGCAGGCTTTGAGGGGTTTTTTAAAACTTAGTCTATTAAATACTCTCTTCCCCAGATGCCATAAAAAATGTAAAATTAAGTCAAACATAATACAGTATGTTTAATGTACTGTGCAAATACAACATACAAAGATCCAGCACAAAAGGGCAGTTATTGGCACAGTAGCAAATGCCCAAATCACAGGACCTAAAAACCGCAAAAGCAAATAACAGGAGTAAAATCTCCATGCATACCACAGAACTAAAATATGCAAAGGATCTTTGCAGATATAAATACTCCCAACATGTTAGACATTCAACAAAATATAAATCGCCTAACCTAGAATTGTAATAATAAGATCTCACAAACCCTGGGAAGATAAACAAGTTTTAGCCTGGCACCACGGAGTGTGGGTGTCAGGATAGCCTCTCCAGAGAGAGCATTCCATAACTGTGGGTGGAAGGCACCATCCGCGGTCCATGGAGCACCAAAAGTGTAAACTTAGTTTGTTTGCAAGATAATCTTGAGCTCTTTTAATGTTCTGCAGCTGTTACAGAGCACAGTTTTCAATTAAAAATAAAATTTGGGGATACCAATGGGGGGGTTGGGGTGTGTGGAAATGGCCCCTGGACCTCTTGTAGTTTATATCTCTGAACTAGACATTTAGGAGTCAAAGGGTGAAACTAGCTACCATTTTTGACAGAAGACTTGCGTTCTTTGTTACCTGTAATTCTGCCCTGAAATAGCTTGTCCAGACCTTTTTACTCAATATAATTATGACTGTTTGAATGAGATAGTGGTGACAACCTATTGTATTTTCTATTCTTTTATTAAACACAGTGCATAGATTGCTTAACATTGGCAAGACACTGATTTTGAAGTCAAGACCTTTATCATTAACCCTGTTGTTTGCCTTGCAATGCTTGCACCCTTTATAATACATTTATTTAGCATTCTTTCACATCTTGACTTTTTAAAAGTTTCTTTTAAAAAGTATGGCCAAGGGACTGATATCTCTACCTCTCTCCCACCAGGCTCTGAAAATTGCCTCTGGCTTGTTACAAACAGATTATGGGCAGTTTGTGCTTCCTTAGAAATGCAAAGGAACTTTGGGGGATGTAAAATGATACAAGCTTTGTCTCTCTCTGCTGAGAGCTCATGTTTTGTCACCTGTATTTAAGGTGTGTCTCAGTTAAAGATGACATTACTCTTAATAAAGAATCTGTTATTCAGAGCACCTGTATTGAGCAGATAACTTGGTTTTCCTTACCCAGCTGCTAGTTTTCTAAGACCTGATGCTCTCCAAATGTACTGAGCTCCAGTTTCCATAATTCCTATATAAGATTAGTTTGTTACTGTATACTTCTGTTTCAGTACTTTTGGTAAGTAGGGATGGCTTTTGGATAGGAAAATGTAGGCCATATGCACATTGATGTGCATTAACTAACTTAATTTTTAATATGAGATTAACTGTCAAGGTTTCTTCCCATGCTGGTTTAAAAAAACTCCATGTTGATCAACTTTGCTGTAACCTTGGAAGCTAAGCAGGGTCTGGCCCGGTCAGAATCCCGATGGGAGACTTGAGCAGGGGGTTTATTTATTTATTTATTAAAACATTTTTATTCCGCCCCTTTCACCGAAGCCTCGGGGCGGCTTACAATAATAAATTAAAAATAATTATAATAATAAATTAAAAAATATAAACATTAGATAAAAATACAAAAATACAATATAAAATAAGCCGCCCTGGCCAGATAAAATCCAATAATATTAACAGTTAAAATGCCACTTTATTAAGAAGTAATTTATCTTAGAATGCGCTTTTCAGAACACATTTTGATGCAGCTTTTTCTGAGCCACGATGGAAGACTGTACAAAATCTGGTGGATCACAAGTGTTCTGATCAACACATTAGTGTGTGTGTGTGTGTGTGTGTGTGTGTACTGGATCCGTTTTTACTGGAATTTGCAGAGATCAAAGTTTCAAATTGCTGCCTGCTCTCCATTTCAGCAGAGCATGCTTTGCTGCTCTTGCATCCCGGCTTGAAGGAACAACAATTCATTTGCCTGGTGCTGAAGGTGAGGGGGAAAGGGGGCCTCTCTCTGGCACAAGGTGTGGCAAGAGAGGCTGAAAATAAATTAAAGGCTGTGCTCGCTGCCTCCACTGCAGGAGGTAGTTTGTTGGCACAGAGCTGGCCTGATATCCGCTGGAGGGATGTTGCATAGGAATTGAGGTGGGAGAACCTGGAACTGAAGCAGACAAAGCCCTGGAAATGTTAGCAGGAGGCTTTTGTATGTCTATGTGAGTGTGGGGCGGGGAAGAACAGGAGAATGTTTCACTGTGTTAGCTTTGGGGATGATCAGCTGTAAAATGGGTGCAGTTGAATTCCTAGATGCTGTACCCAGTTTTCTAGCTACTAGATTCCTTGCTTATGCATGCAATTTGAGTTCTCTGTGACTGAAGATAAGTCTAGTCCAAGGAAAACTTTATCTCAGAAATAGAACCAGAGCAGCCTGTAGTATTGTCTTAATCAGTCTTCTCCAGCCTGGTACTCTCTAGATGTTTTGATTTACAACTCCTAAATATCCTGACCACTGGCTATGCTGGGTAGGACTGATGGGGATTGAAGTCTAAAACATCTAGAGGGTACCATCAGG